TCTGTTGTGTTATTTCTCAGTCCTCTTCCATATTTTGGTAGCCTTGGTATTAAACTATGTAATGCTATTCCTTCTCCTTGTTTTGCAACCCCTAATTATGACCAACGGAACCAACTAAGTTTTCAAATGTCCCACAATGATAATTTCAGTGTTGCTCTAGGGTATAAAAGACATGGGTTGGACCTGTCATTGACTAGAACATATACCCTGTTTGACTAAGTTCCTCTTTCTGCAACCCGTGTTTTTTCATGGATCTCTGCAGTCTGGCTTTGTTGTTCTTGAGAATCATCTTTAAAAAGATGTGAAATGTCCCAGAACTGAGATGCACACCCAGAGCATGCTCTTAAAGGAACCGAACTGAGTAAGAGTAAAGGAAGATGGAGTCTCAAAAGTGTCAGGGAAAGGGCTATTCAGGCACACCTCATTTTATGTGTCTGGCTTTAGTGCCCTTAGCACAAACTTTATTTTTAAAGAAATTGTGTGTGTGTGTGTGTGTGTGTGTTTAACACAGTGAAGGATTGTAGCATCCCTGTACTAAGCATATCTACACACTCCACGTTACCATGGTGAGCACATGCTCACTTCCTGCCTCTTGTACCACATTTATTTTAGGCACATACACTGTATTTTAATTTTTTGGATTTTGGTCTTGGGGCCGGTAATGATCTTATTCCTCGCTCTGTGCTCAAGGATTACTCCTAGTGAGCCATATGGGGTGCTGGGGATGGAACCCAGGTTAGCTGCATGCAAGGCAATTGTGCTAGCCACTGTACTATCTCTCTGGCCCCTTAAATTGTGCTTTGAAAAGCCATACTGCTCTTGCACTTAATAGACTAAGGTATAAACCTAGATTTGTACTTTAAACATACTAGAAACCCCCAAAATTCATGTGATTTACTTCACTGTGGTAATCTAGAACCAAAATAAACCACAGAATGCCTATGACTAGTAGAACCCAATGAAAAGTAAGACATATTTCTGTAATAATGATTTCTAATAGCAAGCAATTTGATGTGCTCAGCACCTCATTCTGATTAACATCATCTCACAAGTGTTGGGTGCAGGCCAGGAACCAGGACGGTGCTAATCACTGTTTTCACCTCTCTAAACTCCTTCCTCCTCCCATCCCCCTATGGCTGAGGAGTCTGAGATGCAGAGCTGCAGGCACTGCTAAGCCATTTGGCTGGTGAGTGCTGCCAACTCTAGGCAGAGGAAAATATCAAAGTAGAGCAATCAGGGTATGGTCAAGGATGAGCCAAGGAAATGGAAGTCAGTGTGAATCAATATAGAACAGGGACGTAGCTTCTCCCAGGGTTCAGTCTCTTTAAGGGGTGCCGAGCAATGTGGTAAGATTCGAGTATTTTCTAAGTCTCCATGAGAACATGTCTTCTTCCTCTGTAAGAGTGGGTATAAACTGAATGGACAATTGGTAGAAAACTGTAATTATAGAAAGTGTAGTATTAATATTTGGGGAAAGTATTTGAGGGGTGACCCCCAGTGGGGCAGGGGATTGATCCCATGTCTTCTACCACACGAATCATGGTCCTAACCCCTGGGGAAGTGGTATGATTCCCTAGGGAAGGTTTTTTTTGTTTGTTTGTTGTTGTTTTTTAATTGAATCACAGTGGGATACACAATTACAAAGCTGTTCATGGTTGGCTTTCAGTCACACAATGTTCCAACACCCATTCCTCCACCAGTGTACATGGGGAAATGTTTTAAGGGGCTAGATAGGCAATGCTCAGTGAGAAATTTCCTAAATTCTCTTTCTAATAAAAGGATATTTGGACTCCTGACTGGTAGTCTGAGCAGTGGTGGTCCCAGAGTTGCTATTACTCTTCCAGAAACAGGATCTCCTGAGCATTGCCACAATAGCTTCCTAATGAGAGAGGCCAACTAGCATTCCTAAGAACTGGGCATTGCCCCCAAGACTTCCATTTTAGCTTAAACATTATATTAAGAATTCTGCAATGTAATCTACTCTTCTCTCAGAAAATGGGGGTGCAAACACCATGTCCCAGGTTCACCCTTTTTTCTTTATTAATTCCTCTCTCCGGGTTTGCCCATCCCAGTCCAATAAAGTGACTTAGTAACAATCAGTCTCCTCCTGACGATGTCTAACTCCCCCAGCTGACTTTTACTTAGTGAAAGGCCATGCTGACTGGCAAACACAAGCCTTCTGGTCACTGCCTCCTCCCTGCGGGCTTGCAACTTAGCGCTCTAAATAATAAGATATTTGCTGGGAGTTTAATCAGCATGAGTCAGGTTCCTGGGGTCTGGTCACCCTCAAGGGGATGGGCAAAATGGAAATTCTGCACCTGCCATCCTACAGAGATGTACTGGCAGAGAAGACAACCTCTCTCAACTGCTTAAGTCAACAGGGGAGGGGTAGGCTAAAACTGGCCTGCAGATAGAGGTGACTGCCAGAAAGGGACCAAGAGGATTAGCAGCGATGTCAAGGGGAGACATCCCATTGACCTGTGTCAATGGAGCTGGGGGCACTGGAGGGAAGAACCTGCAGCAAAGGAGCTCAATAAGGAAGTTCACTTTAGCTATGGGGTTACAAAGGAAAAAAAGACAGATTTAATAAGCATCAGTGGAGAAGGGGATTGGGAGGTTATCACCAGGCTCTAATGTACCGGTGTTCCACCTAGCGCACCACAAGTAAGAAGCACAGTGCAGATGTAAAGCACAGGGGCTGTAAGGTGGCACAGGCAGAGAAGCCGAGCAGCAGACGGCTAACCCCTGGGCTCTCCTGCAAGACGCCTGGCCTTGGGAGCAGACTCCTCCTCCTCCAGGGTTGTCTGACTTAAATGAGTTGTGTGACCTCAGTTTCCTTGTCTTGGTGTGTGTGTGTGGGGGGGGTGGTGGGAGGGGGGGAGCATACCCAGCTGTGCTCAAAGCTTACTCCAGGGGCTGGAGCGATAGCACAGTAGATAGGGCATTTGCCTTGCACATGGCTGACCCGGGTTCGATACCCAGCATCCCATATGGTCCCCTGAGCACCACCAGGAATGATTCCTGAGTGCAGAGCCAGGAGTAACCCCTGTGCAACACTGGGTGTGATCCAAAAAAGAAAAAAAAGAAAAGCTTACTTCAGGCTCTGTGCTCAGGGATCACTCCTGATGGGCTTGGAGGAATATATGGAATTCTGGGGATTAAACCAGGGTCACGTGCATGCAAGGCAAGTGTCCTCCTCGCTGTACTACCTCTCTGGCTTTAGTTTCCTCATCTTAAAAAGAGGCTCAACCCGCTCCCCTCCAACGGGCCCTGGCGAGGACAGCCAGGCGCAGGGGCAGGAGACTGCTGCATCTTATTATGACATCTTATTATCTCATTCCTACTTTGGACAAACTGGCAGGCTACCGAATGTAGCCTGCCCACATGGCAGAGTCTGGCAAACTCCCCGTGGCGTACCCAATATGCCAAATACCAGTAACAATGATGGGTCTCATTCTCCTAAAGAGCCTTGAATATAATCTCAGGGCTAGGATGAAGGAGACGTTACTGGGGCCTGCTCGAGGCAATCGACGAATAACAGGATGATTTGTGATTTGTGAAAAAGAGGCTCAGACTAGTGCCCGCACCAGAGGTCTGTGGTAAGGACTAAGATAAATGAGTAAACATGCACATGGACCTAGATCAGCACCTAGTAAAAACCTGGAAAATGCTAGCTTTGATCACAAAATATCCCTTTGGAGAACCATCTACAAAGTGAACTCTATCAATGAGCTGCACCTGGAGACAGGGCAGGGCATCTCACAGGGCTGGTATCCGCACTTGCACAAAGCATCATCTGTTATGGTCTCTGACTCCTAAACTGTCTTTTAGGAGGGCTGTAGAAGAGGCTGAAGAGACAGCTCAAGTGGCTTATAACTAACTATATGCCAGAAACTGGGCATTTAAGGGTGCTTAGAACATGGGTGGATGTGGTCCTGATGGACCCATGCATCACTGAGGGTGGTCTCTCTTTAAAAAAGGACTATGGAGCTAGAGAGATAGTACAGAGGTTAGAGGTCTTGCTGTGTATGCAGCTGCAGCTGCAAACCTGACTCAAATCCCCAGTACATCATATGGTCCCCAAGTACCATCAGAGCCCTGAACACAGAGCCAGGATTGGCTCCTGAGCACTGCCAGGTATGGCCCCCACACTAATTAAACATATAACCAAAAATGTAAGCCAGGGAAATCACTCAAAGGGCTGAAGCACATGCTTTGCATATGGAAGAATGCAGGTTAGATCCCTGGCATCATGAGATGCCCTGAGGACCCTCAGGTGTAACACCCAAATCGAAAAATGAACCAGGAAAAAAATGGGAGAGTGGGTTATATAGATGCTATGGTGATGGATAAAATACAAAGATATGAAATGCATTTAGACTGAGCTTTTAGTTGCTAGGTTCTTCCAATGACACTGAGGCTCCACTACTAAATGAAATAATCAGGACAATACTTTCAGAAAATGTACCACGTGTCTGACGTTATCTTAGCACCTACATATACCAACATATTTCCTCTATAGCATTGGGAAGGAGGTAATTTTCACTTATTTTACCTGTAGAGAATTTAGTGGTGGAGCTGGAATACCAAGTCAAGCCATGCCTCCTTCACCCACACCGCCCTCAAGAGCTTCTGCTCAGAACTCCTGGGCCAAACAGAGCCCCAGCAGCCCACCTGCAGGCCTTTCAATATCTGGCTGGTTCCACACCCTCGGGCCTTGGAGGGAGTTGCCAGTGCCGGAAGAAAGAGGCCAGCTCTTCTCGGGGAAAACTCAAACAGGAAATCCATTCCCTATCACATTCCAGCTGGAATGAGTAGAGTGCTGAGGGCCTGTGCTCATGGGGCTAGGCTTAGGCGAAGGCCGTGGGTGGAGAAAGGGATGAGAACCCAGCCAAGTTCACCTCCAGGTCCAAAGGTGTCTTAGCACTACAAATCCCCCTTCTGCCACCCCTGGGAACCACCCTTGAGCTGATGAATGCAGAGAGGAGTGTGGGACTTACTGGCCGGGGCAGACTGTACTGGTACATTTCTGGGCGGTAGGTTGGCACCCACTGCACCCCAGCCCTGGGTCTCGTCATGGTTCCCGGCGCACTAGTCACCACCTCCGAGTAGGGCAGATGCTGGGTGGAGCCATAGACCTCCGGGTGCCGGCTCTGGCCTGCGTGGCCTGAGGATGCCAGGCTGAAGGCCTCCTCCAGCAGCAGGTGCATCTGCTGCCTGACCTCGTCGATGGACGGCTGCGAGCTCAGCGTGGATGTCTCTGAGTGGCCCTTCACCTGCCGAGACCTGCTGTAGCCCCGGGACTCATTCACGCGGTCGATGTTGGTTTCCTCGATGATTTCCGGCTCAGTCTGTGGGATCAAACACAAGCTTATTGGTAGGTGAGGAGGACCGGACTTCCTAGGAAGAGGCGTCTATATCGTTTTCCCACAGTGCTTGACAAGGGTGAAAGAAGCTGACATGGGGGAAGTGGCTGCGGGACCAGTGGTACCTAGGTGGCATGCAGAAAAACATGGACCTCGAAAGAGCTCCTAGCCAGAAAAGTTTCTTTCCCACGTTTCAGTTTCTGGTCTGTAAAAAAGGATGATAATAAGAAGAGCTCAAGTATGTCAAAGGGAGGAGCCAGAGTGATAGGACAACGGTTATGGCGTTTGCCTTGCAATGCGGCTGATCCGGGTTAGGTCCCTGGCACTCCACATGGCCCCAGAGCCCAGGCAGGAGTGATCTCTGATATTGGTGTGATGGGGTTGAGATCTGAGGTCCGGAAAACTATACACATGGAATTTGATCGTGGCTGATTATAAAGTTGTAATTTACAAAGGATAACTTTGTAAATTACAGTACCTAAATAAAAAATATATATAAAAGAATATCAAAGGGTTTTCTAAGGACTAAATACGATGCTGCAGGTAATGAGTCTAGAAGCAATGGTAGCACGTGGTAAAAAACACAGTCAAAACACACCATTATTTGTAAGGAGAAGCACGTAGTTCTCATCTAATCACTAAGTATAAAGTACATACATAGAATATGCAAAGCATGAAAAATTTCATTGGAGAATCATTCATAAATGTACAGAAAATCAATACCATGTTATTTCTTATGTTTTTAAAAATGAACTTAAGAGAACAGATAAAAAATATAGTAAGCACAGAAAAAGGATTGAAATAATTTCTGTGATCTTATCCCCCAGTGTTAGGGCTTGACTATAATCTGAGATCCAAGAAGCGGTGCTGTGTTGAGACTTATCAACATGCATCTACTGTGGGCAATTTATAATGTGGTTTCTATATCAATCCAAGCCAGAAACACAACAGAGTAGATTGCAAAATAACCTTTGTGATCAAAACCAAAAACTTAGAGGCATTTCTTGTCTGAATGCATATCCCCAAGCTCCACCCGAGGGTACCTCAAAGGGTCCTTCTGCTCTTATGCATTCTTTAGGCTGAGATTGTGCTCCAGAAAGGAGCTCTGTGAAGACCCTTCTGAGACCTTCTAGGGCTGTGTGTGCCACTTCTGGACAAAATATCTTCACGAGGCATAGAGGGCTCTGAAGCAGATTTCAGAGTCTAAAGGGACCTTAGGAGACCGTTTTATGCACATCCCATGGCTCAGAAGAGGCATCGAGTCTCAGAGCAGTGGGGTGATTCTCCAAAGCAACTGAGCAACTGAGGTGGCAACAGCATCAGTTGGCACCTGATCTGCAGCCCCACACAGCCTCTCTCATCGATCCACTCAGCGAAGCCGCTTGCTCCCCACCCACGGCCCTCCCACATCTGCCCCTCCCTACTAAATAATGGATGTTTAATGATGAACTTAGTCCCGGGTGGAAGATGAATGGCACTGGGGTTCATGCTGATGGTTCCCACCCCTGAATGGTGCAATGCATTTCCAGTCATTCCTGAGGTGGAGCTATTATTATGTGACTTTATAGGTGTGCCTAAGCATGGGAGATGTACAGATGATCACCATGGTCCTGCTCTTTTACTTTCTGTTGAGGCCTAGGGTGGGGCTGTGCTGCTGGGTAAGGGGACGAGGAGATACTGCTTTTGCTGAAATAGAGGCACTCTCACCCCCGCAGAATGTGAGAGGAGAATAGGGCTTCCCTTTAACTGGACGGCCCAGACTCCAAACTAAATATGACCTCATAGGCTGACCTGTGCCTTCCTTGAAAGAACACCTTTTCCCCACCACTCTCCTTGGCTTTTCTGTCTCTCACACACGCAAATGGAGACAAGGTGAGCTCTCTTCGTCCCCTGGGCCTGCTTACCTCCCCTTTGTATTTGCCTGGCGAAGTTCTCTCTTGCCCATGTCTGGAAGTCTGCCCACTCTGTTCCACTTGTATTAGATCATACCTGAGGGTCATTCAGCTATACCCCTTTTCCAGATAAGAAATCCCTTTTCCCTAGTTTTTACACATTCCTAAAAGTATCCTTTGTTTTAATTAGACAAGAAGTGGGAGACACAAGCCGGAGGGACAGTATAGTGGGTAAGGCATTTGACTTGCATGTACTTGACCAGGGTTCAATCCTCAGCATCCTATATGGTTTCTCTGAGCACTAGCAGGAGTGATCCCTGAGTGCAGAGCCAGGAGTAACCCCTGAGTACAGCCAGCAATGGTCCCCAAAACCAAACAAACAAACAAAAAGTGGGAGATAGGGAACCAAGAGACAGCACAATGGGCTGAGTTCATGTTTTGCACTGGGAAGAGCAGGATTTGATCCTTAGCCCTGCAAAATTTTTGGAGCACTGTGGGGAGCAGCCCCCAGGCTCAGAGATGGAAGCAGCCCCTGCATATTGCTGGGTGTGCCCCCGCCCCCATAAAAAAGGGAGCCGATAGGAACAAAGTCTAATTTCCAAGTGTTGGCTGATTATTAGGGTCGTAATATATTTTTAAAAATCTCTATCTTGGTATTTAACCATACTTGCTTTGCAACCACATACACTTGCAAAAAGCAATAAATAATGCTTATTATAAATTAATCAAGTGATACTTCAATAAGAATGCTGAAAAAAGATTAATCAAGAAATGTTTGTTCCTGGTAGGAAATTCAAAAACACCGATAAACTGAAGGAAGAAAATGAAAATCCACTGTAATCCTGTCACTAGAAATAACTATTGCTAACATTTGACCTTTTCGCAAGTTCTTCCAGATGTTTCCCGTGCATATGAAATAGGATGAAGATTATGAATGCTGAATCTCTCCCACCCATTCCCACCCCCTCACCAAGGAAGCTGGCCTGGTTCGCTCTTGTCAGCTTCTCCCCTCCAGTCTTTGTGGAAAGCCTACCTTTGGCTGACAGGATTTTCTACCTTTCATGAAGGAGAACAGGAAGTGGGGGAGTGTCATGAGGCAGAAGGGGTGTGGGCTGTAGACTATTTTAGTGCAAATTTGGGAGAGAGGTGCAAAACCAGCTGTAGCATGTGAGTAGGAAAGGAATTAAGGCAACTTAAGAGGTGTTCCTTAGCGTGATATAATGTCTTCCATGCCCATGGAAATATGAGCGAACAGGTAAATTACTTTTGCTGTCATAGATATTTTCTCAGACTGAGCTATCTGGGTCACTGTTTTTTTTTTTAAGAATACAAGCACTCTTATGTGCATAATAATACATGAAAGGTTTTATATTTTAAATATTCCTTTATGCACAATATGTAAATAAATATGTGTATCATAGGGAATGACTTTATTTATTTTTTTTGCTTTTTTGGGGGGTCACCCCTGGCTATGCTCAGGGGTTACTCCTGGCTTTGCACTCAGGAATTACTCCTGGAGGTGCTCAGGGGACCTTATGGGGTGCTGGGAATCGAACCCGGGTTGGCCACATGCAAGGCAAACGCTCTACCCCTCTACCCGCTGTGCTATCACTCCAGCCTGTGCTATCACTCCAGCCCCAGGGAATGACTTTAAATTGTTGCACAGCATTCTGTTCTGCAGAGTTCAGCCTATCACTTAATCACTTAAGCTGAACTCTGAACTGCAGAGTTCAGCCTATAGGTAGTTAATATTCCTAACCACCTACCCATAGAAACAAAGCTGAAAAAAGTATACATGTGATTTAAATTTTGCTTATAACCATAGATTTATCCTAAAGTTCAACTCCTATATGTTGAATTACTGCATTGTAAGATATGTGCATATTTATGATTTTGGATTATGGTGTGTCATACCTCAGTAAAAGTGCCCACAGGCAAAAATTTTGATAATTCTAAGGCCATTTCTTCACCACACCTGAGTAAATCCCCAGTACCACCAATTTTTCAGCACCCATTATTAGCAAGCCTTTTCCTTTTTTTCATGTTCTTGGCTCCTGTGTTATAAATTAACTCTCCAGATATTTAGAGATTTATTTATTTCTGGTCTCACAATTCTATTCCATTTTCTGTCTTTGTTGTTGTTGTTGTTTGCTAGTTTATTTATTTGTTATGATGGTGGAACTCAAATCCAGGACTTTGCAAATGCAAGGTAAGTGCTCTATTGTTGAGCTCCATTTCCATCCTCTGAATATCTGTTTTCATTCCAATAATCCGTTATTTTGATTACTATAGCTTTATGTATCACTTAATCACTTAATCACTTAACTTCCCGTTAGTCGGCGATTTGCTCGAGCGGGCGCCAGTAACGTCTCCATTTGTCCCTGTCACGTGCTAGTGTAGCCCAATGGCATCTGTTCGCTCCGGGAACATGGAGGGCCTCAAACCGATCGTTCATGACCTTGACAAAGAAGTCTGACCATCTGGTAGGTGGGCGGCCACGCGGTCTCTTGACATCCCGTGGAATCCAATCAGTAACAGCTCTAGTCCAACGGTCGTCTTTAAATCTCATTATGTGACCAGCCCATCTGATTTTCGACACCTTGGCAAATGAGACAGCGTCCCTGATCCTTGATGGTCGACGGATGTCAGAACTCCGGATTCGTTCTCTCATTTGAGTGAAAGGGTGATTAGAGGTCACCCCAAAAGCCTCTATCCCTCTCGGAAAGACTGGCAAGCTACCGAGAGTATTCCGCCCGCACGGAAGAGCCTGGCAAGCTATCCGCTGTGTATTCGATATGCCAAAACCAGTAACTACAACTGGTCTCATTCACCTGACCCTGAAGCTTTATGTATAATGTCAAAAAATGCAAAGCCTTCCATCTTCTTATATTTTCAGGATTGTTTTGACAATTCAGAATTTTGTAATTCCATACAAGTTGTAATGCTTTTTTTAATGTTCTTGATGAATGACACTAGAATTTTGATAGGAATTGCAATGAATCTGTACAGTGCTTTGGGTAGGATAGATGTTTTAACAATGTAATACTTCCAATCCATGAATATGAACTATTTTCCAGGGCTCCTGTAGGTTCC